CATGATTGACGAATTAGAACGCGCGTTGTATCTACGGCAGTTTGCATTGACCAATCGGCGACACGCTAATACACTGTGGCTGTTTGTTGACAATTACACAATATGGCGACAAATTTAATCAATTTTCGCCGATAAAATGATTAAAGACACATGCATATACATAATTGCTGCGGTGTTTTGGCGAGTAAAGATAAACAATGCCAAACGTCTTAAAGGTGTGGTTATGTCTGAAACCTCGATTGTTATTTTTTTTTCGGAGCACTTATCTAGAAATTATTTGGAGATTTGTATCTAATGTTTTATTAATACATTGAACTCCGTAAAGTAAACAGGTTGATTATACAAAATTAAATGTCTCTACAGTAACATCTCATTAGTAAAATTGAAATTAAACATTTTTTTTACAAACAGATTTATCAATATAAATTACATTTTAATGAATATGTAACTTTTAGATACTAATGTTATGGTGTAGTTTATAATCTTAACCAATTATACATGCAATTTTAACTTAAACCCTAAGTATGGTACTATCCTGCTTTTCAACAAAATATTGGTATGATATGTTCATATATCCGAATTATATAGAGACTGTCCACAGTGACTCCCTGTCTATAATGACCTTTTTTCTTTTCTCCCATCGAAGGTCACTGTAAACAGTCTTTACTGTAATTGAAATAGAAGGAGCCGTCATATTTAATGCGGCATGATTTCATTTTTTCATTTTCAAAATTACTAATAATTACAATTGTCACATCTTGTTCATGATTGTTTTGTTTCCAATTCGCATTAAGCTGAGAATAACAGTATAGAAGTATTGTCGCTATATAACATGTCAAATGATAGTGTCAGTCTAATTTGTGTCAGTGTTTTAGTTGTGGGGTTATCTTAAAATACTTTTATAATTATTGTTCTTAGTAATGGTTACTTATCTTTCAAAAACGAAGATAGTAAAATTTATTACCTGTAAAATGTGTGTAACAAATTATGGTAGTCTCATATAACTCCTTACAAGAATGTCCATTTGAAAGCATGTATTGTAAATTTCACTATATTTGTGTACATGTATTAGGTGTACATGACTGTGAATGAGACTCTTATAAACTAATTATTGGCTGGGTAAAGAATGACATTACTTTAAAAAGGAAACCAACCAGAATATTAAAAAAAATATTTTATGTTACACATATTAAAAGGATTTCACTGTCAACATTTTTTGTATCACTAATCCCTCTTGCAAACGTTTGTATACATACTGTATCCCTAATGCAAACATGTTCATAATAAGTTATCCTTAAACATTTTTCATATTGCTTTCTTTAAAAACAAAACTCTATTATAAAAAAGTACTGAATCTTTGACGTAGGTACTGTTTCAAATCGTGCCTCTTTCGAAAAATTGTGATTCGCTCAAATGCTTAACAATAAATTTGAAATACGTATTTCACCAAGAAACCTTTTAGCAATGACCATAATATTTGCAGTTTCCATTTAAGTTCAAAGATGCAATTACGGCATAAAAACTATGCTTAATTAAATATTGTATTTAAACTGAAATAAAGTTCGGGATGATTATATCATTGCTATATTGTTCATGTTAAATTCAATATTATATTTTAGACAAACCAAACAAAATAAGTTATATGTTTTATTAGAGTTTGAATTATTCCAGTATATAATTGATACTGAAATTTAGAAATGATCGACGACACCCTGAGGCTTTTAGTAAATTAACGGTTCATTGTGTTTTATTTTGAAACACTATTATATGACAAGATGTTTATTTAGACAGTTTTAGTTTTCCATACAACTAATACTATTTACAGTATTATGGGCAAACATGTGCAAACCATCGGACACATAAATCTTCTGCAAAAATTGTACAACGATTGACTGCAGTTATTTTATTGAACAGCTTTTTATGAGAAAACTCCAGCAGTGTTCCACAACATTACGATACCTATATAATGTCTTAAAGAAAAATATCAAATTAACATCGACTGAAAACAAATTAGTGTTAGCATTTACACTTGATTACTACCATGACTACATGAACTATCAACATCATCCAAACGTTCAAAAAATGAACGAATTTAATGGTAATTAAAGGTTACTAAGATTTAAGTGAAGTTTATGTTTTGGGTTATCTATAGGTCGAATCAACAATTCATTTTTAGATAAAATACAGTTTACATAGCAAGCACGGCGTTCTGCTCTGAAGAGATAAACTGTTTATTTTATGCTTTTCAGTGGATTACTGATTTATCCGTGAAAATTATATTTGATAATTTCACAGTGAAAATTATCAAAATATAATTTCACTTTTTTCAATGACGAAACTACTTTTTTAAGATTTTCCCCATGTGGTACCTCAATTTTATTTTTACTGACAATTCTGACAATGTCAGGCTGTTAAAAGAAATAGCAAAGCTGAAATAGATAAATAACTTAGATGTCAAAAGTAATACAGAGATAAAACTTACTTTTATTCCTTCAAATTCCAATCACCAAATTTCGTCTCTAAATTTTTTTGTTTCGTTTTTACAGTCTGAAAAATACTTTCCTTCCCCATGCAAAACTGCTCTTGATGACATTTGGGCATATTAAAGTATCCTATGAGCAATAACTGCCGTATGCTTTATGAAAAATTGAAAAGCATTGACATGCAGCCATCACTCGTAAATAAGTAAAACAACCCTGCGTTCCTTAGCAAGCTTCCAAGTTTTCCATTTTCCTAGCTCCTTTTCTGAATGTTTTCACTTCTGTCAACACTTATTTTTTGTCTGTTACAATCCTCAAATAAGTTCTCTTTCTTTTAAAAAGGTGTATGACTAACAAATCCAAATCATATCCTTCTGAATCTTACACAATTATTTTTCCTCCCATGAAATACAATACTTTAATAAAGTTTCCTTTTAAAAGGAAAGGCTTGCACAGTTGTGCCTTCATCCCAACCCTTTAAAATTGTTGTTTTTTTTTTGGTTTCAATTTATTATCACAATTTTTTTGAATTACGGTATTTGTATATCATAAAGGGTTTATTTAGTTGTTTTTTTGTTTTTTTTTTTGGAAAAACGAATATTTTTTGTCAAAACGATTTGAAATCTATTCTCTATTGTATAAAACTAATAAAGAAAATGATCAATCGTAAAAATACTAACTCATACTGAAGGGAAACAAGTGTGCACATTTCATTTCCCCTTTTTCGCAGAGAAATCATTCGTTTGCTTAATAGACAAATAAATGCACTAAAATACTTCGTTACGTGGTACCAAATTCAATTAATAAGCATGTATCAACTATGTTACACGATCACAAATACGATGCGCTAACGTGGCAAAGTTAATGATATGCATGGGCTATTTCTAGATTACCTCACCATTGAATTGCGTTCAGTAGATCTAAATATAACTCACCCTTTGAAGACGGAATACTACTACAGTCATCCTTCTCTATTGTATAAAACTAATACAGACAAAAACAATTATAAAAGAAACTAACTTTTGCGTCTTGAAAAACAATTGAAACGGAACAATTTCGTTTATAATTCATTACGGTTTAAACCGATAAATCAAGTAAAAAATAGAAATCCTAATTATATCAACAAACTGGGATTACCGAAGTAACTAAAATAGCTTAGATTTCCGTAATATTACTTCGTCTGATTCCGCAGTATGACGGAATCGCCCGAATTGTCACGATTGCAATCGGAACTACATCGGCTATTATCATTAATCCGAAGAATGACGGAAAAGGCCGAAAAGTTGTGATTGGCACGATTGCAGCTGGTTTCCCGTTCAATCATGCACTAACAATTGGAAACAGGAAACCCCCTTACCGGAACAAGTTATTCAAAACAAATGGCTTGCAGCCGTGGCTGCAAGCCAAAAAATGGCTGCCGCTTACATTTTACAAAGCCAGGTCTAATATAAATTCGCAGTAAGTAACAGAAATATGGATGGATGGTTGGACTTTTTCTCCTACAAGAATTTTTTGTTTTTATTATTAAAACAAGCGATCATTCATATTTTTTTAATAAAATGAATAAATATCACCGTCATTTAACCTTGATTGGCGGACTTATTTTTCAGCTCAAGACTTCTTGTTTTAAATGAGAAATTCCGTCTAAATGGGGCTCTCAATGGGGGAAACAGATTTTAATATAAACGTTAAAATTATGGAAATTTCGTTTTAAATAACTTGTTTTTAAGCATAAAATAAAAAGAAAATTTGTCTGTTTGTTGTGTAAGATGTAATTTTATTTCATCTCGTGAACTTTAAAAACAGTATTCTCACTCGTGGCTACGCCACTCGTGAGAATACTGTTTTTAAAGCCCACTCGATGAAATAAAATTTCATCTTACACACAAACAAACAAATATCCTCTATATATTAATATAATGTGTTATATAAAAATCAATTTTCAGGTTCGCAAAAATAGATATTCTGCACCTGAAAAAAAAACGTGTGCAAGTAGGCCTAATTACCAATTACTGTCAGTGATATGAAATCATTGTTAACACTTAGGCATGTTAACAACACGCAGAAATACATAAAATTGAAACAATAACAAAAAAGATTTTGCGCAGATATTAATTATGTTTTGCATATTATATATGTCTGAACCTTTCTCAGAAAACGTGAAGTGTCAAATGTGCAATAGGAAATGCTCCAAGAGTCTCCATTATTGTATTACATTGTTTGTGGGTAGTCCTAGACAAAATAAATCAATACATGTACTTTGCTAACATTCCCCGTGTACAGTATATAACCTAGATATGTGTTTGAATATACAAATATGACATTCAATTTCGTCCATTGATCAATATATGATTTATTCGTCTTTAAATGTTTACGATTTATATACGTATGTTTCATTTAATCTATTTAAAGTTTAGCGAATTTTCATTTTGGACGGATGGTCACTAAAAATGGGCGAATCGTAATGGTGCGAAAAAAATGGGCGAATCGTAATGATCCGAATCTTCAGTGGGACGAATCGTTATTGACAATATGGCTGCCAAAACGAAAGTAGACTTTGGTGGTGAAAATAATGAACTATTGCAAGAGGCAGATTTTAAAGTATTGATGAAGCATAAAACTGAATTTTTAGATTTAGTGACTTTTGTGGGAACCCAGAAGTTGGTCGCTATCACCATTTCCAATTGTAATGCAATGTATAATTATTCTTTCACAGACGCACAAATTCAACGCAGAAGAAACATGGCGTTTGTTTTTTACAAGACGTTGTTTGAGATTGAAATATTAAAACATTTTTTCATGGAAGGGGTTTTACCTGATAGATTGGAAGCGCAAAAAAGAACAGCAGTGCTTACTTCCTTAAAATTTCTGGCGAAATACCTGACAGGTAGGCTAATATCATATTTTTGTTTTTTTGGTTCAAGTCTGACTTTAATTAAGAAAGTATAGATCTAGGGACTTATTTGGCAAATTAACTCACATATGTTTATATTTTATACATAGAGACTACCGAATGAGTGTAGGCGCTATACTGAACTTATTGAACAAGTAAAATATAATATTTAGCAAGTGTCATGGGCTGAGAAAAATGTGTAACCTGACTGGGACTCGAACCCGGGACCATTCCGCATTTTCCTTTCTGTGGCTCTACGGACATTATTTGAACATTTTTCCATGTAAATGTCTTTATTTAAAAGCTAGAGATTCAAAGATTTGACACTGTACAGCAAGGTTCCTCTCCTAACTAAAAAACTGCTTTGTTTATTTATGTTTATGTTGACACTTAATTTGAGTCCTGTTGAGGAGGGTATACAAATTACCTAAATCATACAGTACCAGAATCATAAAAGGCCTTGTATTGAATGATACTATAGGTTAAAAAAAAAAAAATAATAAAGGCTTTATTTAATGTAGCTACAATTTGCCAAAACTATTTTCCATATGTACTTCAAGACATGACACAAGTACAATGTAGCTGTATACAAAACAAAATTTAGTTAACCAAGTTCCAGATTTTATTTTTAGCCAGATTATACGAAGAATATGGAGAGCTGTCCTCACCCCCTCGTCGGTGTCCGCGTCCAGATTTCAGATTAAAGTTTTAGTGCAGTAAAATATTTTTCACTTTAACTTTCATTTCTTATCAATGATCCGATGATATGTTAGATAACATTACTATACTTCTTAAAGTGAAATATCATTTAAACTTGAAATGGTCATTTTTACTTTATTACATACCCATGGCAATATTAAAAATGGTGTACAGTTGTGCATATTAGGGCTTTACGTCCCTTTTGCGTCCCTATACGCATAAATTTTTGACATGTACGCATGTAAGTTATCCACTTGCATCCAAGTGTATGCACAAATATAATCCTAGACAATAGAAATTATTGTTTTCTGACCCCATATGATTTTATCTCTTTCTTCTCGAAGCCCGCAAAATTCCAGTTAAAAATCTAAAACAGCCCAAACAGAAAATGCTTTTGGGATTTGTTCCCTTTCGGGAAATTAAAAAAATTGAAATCTAAATGTGCAAAAACTATTGGCAAGGCCCCCGCAGAAACTTTAAAGACAAAATTTTCTGTTCAAGCTTAAAAGTAACTGGGTGAGGTTAACCATAAAAAACTATTTTAGGTATTTTTTGGGTTTTTTTTTGTATCTTTATTAAGAAAAGACCTTTTTTTCAAAAAACTAGGCAAAATTAAATATTGTTAGCCCTATCCCAAAGTCAATCTAAATGGTTTTGGAAATGAATTTTGTATAACAAAAAAAGGCCCGTTGGTTTTTTGGGAAAATTAATTTTTTTTAGTGTTATAGAAATTTAAAAACACTTAAAGGTTTTGTCAATTATCATTGATGTAATAAAAAATAATGGTTTTTGGCAAAATTAATTTATGAGAGGTGCAAAGAGGTTTAGTCTGCCTTGTGTTTACATATGATATTTTTTAAAAACGCAACATATTTGTGTGTTTTCTAGTACAGCTAAAATATTAACAGATACTGATCAGAACAGTTTCCATTCTGTTAGTGCAATCACCTTATCAATCTCAAAATATGCGATTAAATAAAACATGACATTCCACTCCAGCCACTCAAAGACTATATTTAAGCCTGGGAAATTGAACATAATATTATTGTAAAGGGCTATAATAAAAACCAAACTAATTTATTATAATAAAGTGATAACAGATATATTAAAAATCATGTACTACTCATGAAAACAGTACAATATACATGCATATTTCTTACAGGGTAAATAAATGATTTTGTGAATGAGCAAAATTGAGTGGTCTTCATAGTCTTTTTCAGTGAATATAATTTTGAACCCCTAAAATATAGCCATGGACCCGGACATTTCTAGGCAGTGCATCCACTGGACCCCTAAAATATCAAAGAGATGTAAAACCCTGGCATATAGTTTAGCATCACATCATTTAAGTTATACATAGTGTAAAGTCACTTTTGGCACATCAATGTAAAATGAGTTCAGTCTTTTGGGTTCTGTATTCTTAGAAATTATTTCACGCTTTTTTAAGTAAGCATTTTTTGCAGTGGATACATTTCCAAGAATTTTAGTATCCGCCAAAAAGTTGCATGTTAAAAAATCGTGAACATTTGTAGCTTCAACCACATAGATTATCATTAGGTCATTATGAAGTACTATGATGTAGCATGCATAACTTTTACTTATGCTTAACTGTCATACACGTCTCAAGGCTAAAATTCACTTTGCAAAAAGGTTTAGCGTTTAGATATAAAATCATATAATACATGTTATTTACAGTTTGCATACTTTGAATAAAGGTAATTCTTTGATGGTATTGGTAGATAGAAAAAGAAGCAAGTAATATAGAAAATGGATAAGCATTTCCTGAAGATTTTTAATGGTTACAATTTTTTTTATTCAAACAATGAATTTGTTTTTGGATATAAAGGCCAATCATAAAACAAGGAATTATTTAACTTGACTTCATGATTTTAAATACAAATAAACATTATTATAAAATATTATTTTGCCCAGAGGCTGGCAATTGTTATAATTTTATTCAACTTGTTCAATAAATACAAACATTCAGTATTCTCTATTTATCAATTTTGCTGCAGCTTTATTGTGTCGCCTTTATGAAGTAGTCAGGCGACATATATGGATCACTTCTCCGTCGTCTGTCCGTCCGTCAAAAATTTGTCCGGACTACTACTCATAAACTACTGGTGCAATTTCATCCAAACTTTACAGGAATGATCAGTACCAGGTGTAGTTGTGCATATTGTCAGCATTTTCCAGTTCAATGATTTTTGTAAGAGTTATGGCCCTTTAATAATTTTTATTTTTAAAGTTTGTCCGGACTACTTCTCTTATACCACTAACACAATTTAAATGAAACTTTACAGGATCGATCTGTAGCTCAAGTCCTTGGGCATGTTGCACGGGTTTTCCGGTTGAAAGATTTTAAGCTGAGTTATGGCCATTTGATAAAAAGGTGTTTTTTTCGGTGACTGTTGCCAGATACACAAATGACAAAAGCTTGTCCGGACTTGTCCGGACTACTCCTCATAAACTACTGGTGCAATTTCATCCAAACTTTACAGGAATGATCAGTACCAAGTCTGGTTGTGCATATTGTCAGCATTTTCCGGTTCAATGATTTTTGTAAGAGTTATGGCCCTTTAATAATTTTTATTTTTAAAGTTTTGTCAGGACTACTTCTCTTATACAACTAATGCAATTACAATGAAACTTTACAGGAGTGATCTGTAGCTCAAGTCCTTGCGCATATTGCATGAGTTTTCCGGTTGAATGATTTTTGGCTGAGTTATGGCCCTTTGATAAAAAGTGTTTTTTTTCTGTGTGTTGCCAGATACACAAAAGCTTGTCGGGACTACTCCTCATAAACTACTGGTGCAATTTTATCCAAACTAAAATTACAGGAATGATCAGTACCAAGTCTACTTGTGCACTGTCTGTCTGTCCGTCTGTCACAAAATATGTCCCCACTACTCCTCATAAGCTACTGGGCCTAACTTTACAGGAATATATGTCCCCACTACTCCGAGCACTTCTCTGTCTGTCACAAAACTTGTCCCATCATAAAATTGGCCAACACGAGGTGACACATGTGATCACTGATCGCTCTTGTATTAATTGTTGTATATGTATTCATGTTATGCTTGGACTTAACATCATGCAGGCCAATACTTTGAAATTGAGTTATTCAAATAATATTCAGATCTTTGACACACATTCACCAATGAAGACCTTTATAATTTTTTTTTCATTTGATAATTATAAAAATGAAAGTTTTCTCTTGTTTGTGAATGGTTCTTGTTTGTGAATGGCACTTGTTTGTGGTGGCTGTTTGTGGTGGCTCTTGTTTAAGAATAAAATTATTGTTGTTGATGATAAGTGATATATAGCATAATTGAACTTAAATTAAATTTTTCTTCCTTTTCAGACTATGATCGTGACAAGGAAGTTTTGCAGAAATATTCTGATGGAAGTGTTAGTGAGGTTGAATGGGCAAACATTCTTGCTGCACATTTGTTTAAGAAACTTGCACCTAAGAGGAAAACAATTTTAAGTGATGATGGATATGCCAAGGTACAAGGCTGTCCCTGTAAATGTGGAGCACTGCTTGACTTTGGAGACACAAGTCTTGGTAAGGATATGACAGCATGCTAATTTAGTTAAGATAATTAAGATAATAAAGGAGTAAAGTGGATTTATCATGTTAATAAGCTTTATTGCACATACAGCAGCAACTGAATGATGATTGTGAAAATTATTCTTTAAGTTGCACACTAATGTGGCTATGACATTTCTACTTAGTTTGATAGTTAGCCATCTGATAATAGGCAGTTTCAGAGCAACAATTTGCTAGATGTATTGTGCATTATTTGTTGTGGAAGTAAAACAAACAGCATGAACATTTGTCACATGAGCATGGAGAAAAGCACAAAATGCATGTTTTTGTCAAGCCAACTACTCAAAGTTAAAAGCAGTTTACATATTTACATTTAATGTGATTTTTAGAGTGAAAGTTTTAAAGAAAAAGTTCTAGCTATTGCTACAGACATGTTATTGTTCCCATTGGTGTCACCACTTCATGATTGATCCTATTTTTTATGGTTGCCTGAGCTAGCTAAGAATAAGAATTACTAGGATCAATGAATGTCCACCAAATCATCTATATTTAGATCATTATCACGCTATCATTTACACTTTGGAAGCTACTGCTTCAGTCCAAATATCATAGGAATTTGTCAGAAATATTGTTTGGTGGATTTTAGCTCAAGTTGTAAAATTGGTCGGTAAAAAACTAGGTTACAGTAACACTGTCTAAGTAATCCAAAAATAGTGTTATCACTCTAGATGTCACATTTAAGTCCAAATATCTAAGAAATATTATCATCTTGCCTGGGATAAGAACTAGGTCACAAAGCTGTTACAGAAAACCCTACTTAACACTTTAGAGGTAATTTTTTCAGCCCATATATTCTGGAAATTTATCGGAAACAATGTTTTGTTAGTTTTTAGCTAATATTTGAATTTACATCATCTGGGGCCAAAATCTAGGCCACAGAGCCCAAATATGGGACTTTTTTTTATACATTTGCACTACTTCAGATGAAGATACCAGTTTAAGATGAATTTAAAGACCCATTTATGATGCATCAGAAATGCTCCCAATTTAATTTCTCAAAATCTTTCAATATTTGGTTTCTTGTTACAGTTTTCAAATAACTACATGTACTCATTTGCCATGTTCATGCAACTTTTGCAACTATTGCTCTATCGGCAATAAGTATAATTACAGTTAATTAGTGTTTTGTATCAAAGTCAAAATATTATTTTGCGACCTTTACAACACATTAGTGCAAGTTTAGCGCTTAACTTTCTCAAGTTGTAAAACAGCTAATGTGCCCTAATTACATTATTCAAACACTATTCAACACATTTGACATTTCTAAAGAGAAAAAAAAAGAAATTTTGATTTCTGAGACATAATGTGCCATTAAGCCTATAGATCTGACTTTTATTATTAGTAGTTAACAACATTAATTATACCCCGCAGAACAAAGTTGTAAGGGGGATATACTGGAGTCCGGTCGTGTGCGGGTGTGCGCCCAATAACTTAAAATTCCTTTATCCCACAGTCTTCATATGTGGTATTGAGATTGGTCATGATTAGTAGATTACCCCGATTGATTTTGAGATCACCCGGTCAAAGGTCAAGGTCACAGGGGCCTTGCCTACAAGAAACTTGGCCACCCAATAAGTTTAGATTCCTTTGACCCACAGTCTTCATATTCCACATGGACGTTGGTCATGACCATAAAATGACCCCTATAGATTTTGAGGTTACTGGGTCAAAGGTTAAGGTCAAAGGGGTCTTTACTTCAAATAGCTTGTCCAATCAATTGCTTTAAAATTAAATAAGAATCTTTTGACCCACAGACTCCCTTTTTGGCATGGTGGTTAGTCATGACCATTAGATGACTCCTAATGATTTTGAGGTCACCAGATCAAAGGTCACAGGGGCCTTGACTAAAAAAAAGCTTGTCCGCCCAAAAACTTAAGAATCCTTTGACCCTAAGTCTTCATATTTGGCATGGAGGTTAGTCATAACCATAAAGTTACCACTATTGATTTTTAATTCACTGGGTCAAAGGTCATCAAGGTCACTTGAACTTTTACTACAATAAACTTGTCTGCTCAACTGATTAGGAATATCTGTCCGCAGTGCATTGATTTTGACATTTTCACATTTGAAGTATTGAAAAATGTTCTCATGTATTCATCATAAAACACCCCCAGGCAAAGTTGCATGAATGGGGGAGGGGTATTCAAGTCAGGCAGTGGAAGTTTCAGTTTTGAGGTCAGTAGGTCAAAAGTAAAGGTCACTTTGATCTTTGCCTCTAAAAACATGTAGAATAGATAACTTACCAATGCACTGATATACTACCCTCAGATTTGGCAAGGAGGTTGACCTTTAGTTCTAAATGACCACTATTGATTCTTACAAAGTTGTATGCGGGGGTATTCATGTCATGACAGTGGCAGTTATAGTTGTTTCTTGTTATTAAGAGCCTTAAAAAGGTTAAGGATATAAGGGCCATCATTGCCCTCTCGTTTTATTTTTTGAAGCTACTCTCCCACACAAATTGTGTCTAAAAATCGACAACATATTTGTTTACAATTATTAAATATGCATAGAAATAAAATTTGTAGTTTTCCAAAGATAACTGTGGCCTAATGGTTGTTATGTTTCACTTGACACATATAAACAACCCTTTTATCACACCCGTGAACATGTTGCGGACGTTTATTAGACCCGCTTTGTGTAGGAGAGTAGCTTTAGAAGAAAAATGTTCATGTTTCACATATCAGTGATGCTTAATGTTTTTTTTTTCAGGTAATCCTAGTGTATGGCACGGGAGTGTAGACACTATTTGCAATGGTAATATCCTAATAGACATAGATCATACAACTACTGCTACAGAAATGAACATTTCAGTGGAAAAGGAGAACAGGATTTCTTATCAACGTCAGATACTTGCTGAATCAATTGTTACCAGTTTTGCTATGAAAAGACCTGCTCCTTTGATTTCTATCTCAAGAAATCAGATACAGTTATTTATGTATATTCCAGATTCTGATATTCTTTTGGAAGGAGCACCTGTTATCCTTACTGTTGATAATCAGTTTCAATTAAAAGCGGTATTTTTTGTTTGGCTGCTTCTAAACTACAATGTTTTCAAAGAGGACTTAAGTAAAACAATAAGGAGTGGAATGCCAGTATCTAATTTCAAGACATTGGTTGGAGATAAGCTGGAGGTGTATGAATCTGATATTCACTTTGGTGGATGCAAGAGAAAACTTGATAAAGAGAGTGACACACTAGAGTTTTTCTATGGCTTAGGGTCTGGTGGTAACTTTTCAGGAAAGTAACATTATTGTGCAAATGTCTGTCAGAAAGTAAAAAGAAACATTAAAAATGATTTAATTCCTACAATTGTAATCATATCTTTATGTTTCTTATCATTTAGGTGGATATATTGTAAACAGTATATTGTTTGCATAAGAAATATAAAAGATTTTTTTGTCGGTATTGTAAAGGTTCAACAAAAGGATGTAGTATTTGTCAGTAGGTAAATGAACTCTTGGAATAATTTATGCCAGAGGATTTTTTTGAGTACAATTCAAAATTACTTAACCGTAAATCAGTTAACATTTTTTTCAGTAGGCATTTTTCCTAAAGCCACTATGTGACCTATTTCAAAAGGCAGTTTTCTTTTTAATCTAAATGAAAATATTTTCTGACAAATTCTTTGACATTGCCAATGGTAACATTTTATAACAAAGCAAAAACATAATTTTAGGTATGTTGTATAGTTTATATTCACACAGCTTGGCTTTTTAAAGAATATGGAGGCTATCCTACTCACCTATTGGCTTTGGTTAAAGTTTAAGTGCTTCTAAGAAAATAACATATTATGTGAGATGTAACTTCTTTTACAACATCATATCTTAACAACATATGAAGATACTTGTTTGTAACTTTACACCATTATTAAGATCATAATTTGAGGTCACTTTTTAACAATGCATTTTCAACTTCATTATTACTTCAAAACCAATAAAGACATTTAGGGAGTACTTAAAAGATGTCGCCAGTGTCATAAATGGAGGTCATAATACAAGGCCAACTCTTGCATGGATTTTGATTGCTTTATGGCCCTTTTTGAACTTATGATTATAAAGTTTTACTGGAACATCAGTATTCGAAACTATTGAAAGTACATGTTTTACATGAAATTTTATATAATTGTTCATATTTAGCCAACTAAATGGAAGTTTTAACATGCCATTAAACAGTTCAATTCTATTGGTGCGAAATAGTACCATGTATGGTTTCATTACAGTTTTTATATAATGATCAATAGAGTTTTGAAGGAACAGAGGTCCAAAGCCCGTACAATATAAACTTTTGATTTCTCAAATAGAGCAACTTGGAAATATATGCAAAAGATAATTTTAAGGTCTATAAATAAATCAAATATCATATTTTTGTGTTATTCTTAGCTAGATTTGAGTAAAAAACATCACGGCACTCTTCAATTTTGGGTCATTTTACACATTTACATGGGTCATTTAGAAAAATCATTCTTGAAAAAAATGGAGAGAGCAAACAATGTGGAGCTAGTCTCATATTTTTTTTCAATCCCATCATGTATAAAACCTCAGTGGAGATCCTTTAATATTATTTTCTAGAAAGCACACACTGTAGTCCCCCAGGTTTACATAATTATAAGCAACCATAAAATGTAATAGGAAGAGGTATTCTTGTTACACTGAAAACATGTCTTTGTTTGTTAAGTTTAAATTTATTTACTCTTTTGACACTCAATTTTGTGGGCTTATTCTGTGCATTTAAAAGTGTGATTGTTGCTAATTCCACACAAAAACTAGTCGTGTTGATGCATGTATTACACCCTGTTAATGGTAAATAAAATTGTACTATATTGTTTTTTACTGTGTAACAATGTCCCATACATTTCTTCATCATACCGACTTTCCAGCTTTCCTCAAACAGTAAACTGAAAAGTCGCCAAATGATAATAACAATGTTGATTTAACATAATACAGCAGTAGGGTTGATTGTATTTTTACAGTACGTTTGTGCTCATTAAACATCAACTTGATTTTACATATGAATTTTCAAAGCAACAACATTCTTAGAAAATTATGTCAGACTGATTTCAATAATTGTCATTGCAATATGTATATTATTTAGTTTGAAACTAAAAAAAAACATCAGTACTTCACATCAGTACTTCAATACAAATACACTCATACAGTTGTTCTTATGTCACAGCTCTTTGAATTAAAATCACTTATTTTACCTTCATGTATTAAATGTGCATTCATAAAAGATCTTTTGACTAAAAAGGTTATTTTATACATTATTGTTAACAAGATGGATGGCTTACAGATGAGAACATAATTAGTTCCACAAGCTCACAGCATGAATTAATTTATTTATTTCCTCATGAGAAGGACAAGAAAATTACATATTGTGTAAGATGTAATTATAGGTTTCTATATATAAAAATGCCTTTTGTCAATCAGAGCACAGATTGAGTTTTCTGCCTGAATGAATGTAATAACCTGGAGGAAAATACTTTCATATTAGTTATAACTTGGTATCTTAGCTCAACATTTTTTTAAAGAAAAAAACAAGGTATTGTTACAGTCATAATGGCGTTCTATTTGCCATCCAACAAACTTTAACATTGGTCATGACTTTTTAAGTTGTCAGTGTCTTGTCTTAATACTCAGCCATAATAACTCTTGGGAAAACCTTAAGTAGAGCAGACATAACTTGACCTTCATTAATAAATGATCTTATTTCCAGGTCAAATGTCTAAAATTTGCTTGATTTTTGCTGTTAGTGACTTAAACTTTGTTATTTTTAGCTCATCAGAGCCGAAGGCTCAGTGTGAGCTATTAGTATCAAAGGGGGATACTCCGCCGTCCGTCGTCATGCGTTAACAATCGTCTTCTCTGAAACTGCTGGGCAGATTAATTCAAATTTGGTCTGTAGCATCCTTGTGACAGTCACACTTCAATTTGCTCATGTCATTCCAATTGGCCCCTTTTAGGGGTCAACAGAGCTAAAAATAGAAAAACCTTTAAACATCTTCTTCTACAGAACTAATTGATGGATAATCACCAAACTTTGTCTGTAGCATTCTTGGGTAGTCTTTTATCAAGTTTGCTCATATTATTATGATTGGCCCCTTTTAGGGGTCTCTAGAGCTGAAAATAGAAAAAAAATCTTCAAACAACTTCTTCTACAGAACAAATTGATGGATGGTTACCAAACTTTGTCTGTAGCATTTTCAGGTAGTATTTTTATCAAGTTTGCTCATATTAATTTGATTGGCCCCTTGTAGGGGCCGCTAAAGCTAAAAATAGAAATACCGTTATATGTCTATTTCTAGAGAACTAATTGATAGATGATCACCAAACTTTGTAGCATTCTTGGGTAGTCTTTTATCAAGTTTGCTCATATTAATTTGATTGGCCCCTTTTAGGGGCCACAAAATCTATAAATAGAAATACCTTTAAATGTGTATTTCTAGAGAACTAATTGATGGATGATCACCCAACTTTGTCTGTAGCATTATTGGGTAGTCTTTTATCAAGTTGATGCTTTGGTAGTTTAGCGCGGAGGATGGTAGTCTAGTACTGGTATAACTCTCCAGGAACGATGGTTAGGAAACTACCGCCTATATGACTGAAATACTGTTGGGAAAAGGCGTTTTTGGGTAGTCATATTAACTTGATTGGCCCTGTTTAAGCTAAACCTTAATGTCCCAGGTTATGGAATTTCTTCACATTATTGTTGAAACATATTCTATGCTCAAATTTGATATAAGAAATTATTCAATTTGACATTCCAACACTGAAAAGCAGTTGTTTCTGGTGAGCGACTCAGGGCCATCATGACCCTCTTGTTTAATAGTTTGTCTTTAAACTTCCACACAGCAATCTTTTAGGACAGCCCTTTAAGTTGACTGGACAGGCTTTGGCCTTTACACATAAATGACATTGATTTTGAAGGTCACATTGTTGAAATTTCCATTTTTTCGTTGCAACTGGCTATAACTTTGTTATTATTGAATGGATTGACTTTATTTTAAGTCACAACATTTAAAGCTATAGTGATGGTGCTATGTCAAACGTCCGTTGTTGTGCATCGTCTACAATTTGGTTGTTAACACTCTAGCAGTCACTGTTTTGTTTGTATCATAATCAAACTTTGTCAGAATGTTTGTCTTTAGTTAATAAAATACAGGTAAAGGTCGAAAATGGGTCATCTGGTATCAAAAACTAGGTCACAGGAGCTAAAAATAGAAAAAATCCTTGTTAACACTCTTGTGGCTGCAGTTCCGATCCAAGTATTTTGAAATTGGTTAGGACAATTGTTTTGATGATTTCTAGGTCAAGTTCGAATATGGATCATCTTACGACAAAAACTAGGTCACATGTGTTAAAAATAGAATGAGAATGTTAACATTATGGTTGCTGCAGTTTTGATCATAATATCCTGGAAATTGATCAGGAAGGTTGTTTTGATGATTTCTAGGTCAAGGTCGAATATGGGTCATCTGTCAAAACTTAGGTCATAGGAGCTAAAATAGAAAAAAGCTTGTTAACACTGTAGTGGCTTCAGTTTTGATCCAGATATTCTGGAAATTTGATAGGAAGGTTTTTTGATGATTTCTAGGTGATGATTGAATATATAGAGGTCGTCTCTAGTCAAAAACTAGGTCACAGGAGCTAAAATATAAAATTCTTGTTAACACTAGTGGCTGCATTTGTTATTTAAATATCCTGGAAATGGATCATGAGGGTTATTCTTGATGATTTTATGGTCAAGTTCGAATATGGGTTGTCTCTGGTCAAAAACAAGGTCGCAGGGGCTGAAAATAGAACAAATCTTGTTAACACTAGTGGCTGCAGATTTGTTCCAACTATTTTGGAAATTGGTTAGGAAAATAGCTTTGATTATTTCTAAATCAAGTTTGAATATTGGTTCTCACAGGAGCTAAGAATATAAAAATCGTGTTAACATTCTATTGGCGGCTGCAATTTTGATGTTAATGTCCTGGAAATTTGTCAGGAAAGTTGTTTTGATGATTCTTAGGTCAAGTTCGAATATGGATTGTCTCTGGTCAAAAACTAGGTCACAGGAGCTAAAAATAGAAAATTCTTGTTAACACTCTAGTGGCTGCATTTTTTATCCAAATATTCTGGAAATTGATCAGGAAGGTGTTTTGATTATTTTTAGGTCAAGTTCTAACATGGGTCATCTCTGGTCAAAGACTTAGTCACATGGGCTGAAAATCTTGTTAACACTCTAGTGGCTGCAGTTTTGATCCAAATATTTTGGTTATTGATTACGAAAATTGTTCTGATGATTTCTAGGTCAATTTCGAATATTGATCGTTCTTGTGAAAAACTAGGACACTAGTTGCTGTAGTTTTGATCCAAATATCCTGGAAATTGATCAGGAAGGTTGTTTTGATAATTTCTAGGTCCAGTTTTAATATGGGTCGTCTTCGGTCAAAAAGCAGGTCACAGGAGAAAAATAATATTTTACATTCTAGTGGCTACTGTTGATCCAGATATCCTGGAAATTGGTCTGAAAGTTTGTTTTGATGATTTCTAAGCCAAGTTCGAATATGGGTCACCTGGGGTCAAAATCTAGGTCACACTGCCCAAGTATGGAAAAACCCTGTTAATACTCTAATGGAAACATTTTTTTGTTTCAATTTTCATTTAACTTGGTCAGGATGCTTATCTGGTTAATTACTTTGGGGAGTTCAAACATGGGTCATGTCTGATGTAAAACTAGGTAACATGAGCTAAAAATAGAAAAATCTTGTGAACTCTTTAATGGCTACTGTTGTGCTCCAGATATCCTGGAAACTAGTCTACAAGTTTGCTTTGATGATTTCTAGGTCAAGTTAAAATATGGGTCAGCTGTGGTCAAAAACAAGGTCACACGACCAATAAGGATAAACCTTGTTAATACTCTAGAGGTCACAATTGTGGACTCAATTGTCATCAAACTTGGCCAGGATGCTTGTCTAAGACGTTGCTCTTGAGGTTGATAGGTCAGGGAAGCGATATAGGGCCATCTTGGCCATCTTGTTTTAAGGATAAGACCTTCATGTATAGCAAATTCAAATTGGCTCATATATGATATGGACATTGAAGGTTGAATTATTACATTTTCACTATTTGTTTGCTATTATTGACTGTAACTTGGTAATAAACTAGTGGATTTTTTTCAAATTTCAAACAAGAACAAAAGAACCTTTTAAACAAGAGCTTCTCAAATGTGGAAGTGACCTTGACCTTGAGATTTACTCACCTTGGCCGTCAAGGTCAAATTTTTGAATTCTGGTTAAATTCTAATAGGTTGGATATGTACGGATTCGATTTATACTTTACCAAAACAAGACTTGCTACCAATAGAACATAGTGAATGACTTAAATGTGACATTGACCCTCAAGGTCAAAATTATAAAATTATCATATTTTTTCTGTTACAATGAGATTTTGACAATAAGAACAGTTTTAGATATAAAATTGAACTTTGATATCACATTACCTAAACTTTGACAAAGTGACTTACTTTTGAACTTTGAGATCAGCTGACCTAGATAATTTGACAGTGACCTAGTTTCATGTCTATGAAATTTGGACCAAGTGCACAGTATTTTTTGTAAAATTGAACTTTGATAAAAGTCGACCTAGATTTTGATAAAATGACCTACATTCTCGTGTTTTGGTATACAGCTGTGACATTTGGACCATGTGCACAGTTTTAGATGTCGAATTTAAATTTGTTATCAGCTGACCTAGATGATTTGAAAAAGTGACCCTCTTTCTGTTTCTTTGGTAAACATCAATGAAATTTGGGGCATGTGCTAAATTCTAGATGTAAAATAC